GATATATTAATATATGTACTCTCTATTTATAATTAAATAATCAGTAATTATAATGAATTAATTTTTTTAACTATAAGTTAGAAATATATATGTTAATGTGTTGCTACTTTAAGAAATAAAAATACCACTGACATGATATTTTGTTTTGTATATAAGAATTTCTCCAAAAACAAACTGCCTATTATTTTTCCGTTTATTAACTTATACTATTAATAAACAAAAAGAAACTAAAGAATAGATAATAAACAAAAAGAAAATCTTTTTTTAAATATATAAAGAGAAAGTATCTTCCCTAAAAAAAATTAATAAAGAATAATCCAAAACAGCCCTTCCCCACAAACTGTATTTCTTTATTATTGACTCTTGACTTGTCCCTTCTTTTCCTGCACCAATTCCTTTTCTGTTTTGGTCTTCTTATTATTCTATCATTTCCTCCCCACTTCTCTGATTCTTCTTTGATTTCGTGATCTTTTAGTCCTCAGCTACGATGTCATCTTCAATGGAAGCAAAAGGTACGATCTTCCCTCTACTCAATCCTCTGTTTCTTTTTTTTCTTTTTTTTTTCTTCCTGCTTGGTTGCCGAGAAAAAGCTTTTCTGTTCGTTGTAGTAATAGTCTTAGAAATTATCAGTTGAATACCCAATTTTTGATTGTTGGTACTGGTGTGTTGAGTCCCATACAGATCCTTAGCAACATCCATTCCTCCAAATTCTTGACCAAAAAATTTAGTTTTTAAGTTCAGTTTTGGTTCGTTGGTTTTCGATCCCTTTCACCGACAGTCGACCGAACATATATATATGATGAAATCTTGGTCTCAAATCATCGATGGGATAATCTACGAAACCAAGCGATTGCTCATTGTTTGTTTTCGAAGCTTTTTTACAATTATGGTGTAATATCATTTATTAAATCAACTGGGTTGTAAAGAACCATAATGGAGAATGTTTAAACTAGAAATAGGGTTGCGATTTTGAAATGCAATTTAATAGCATGTTTAGTTTGAAGAAATTTAGGGGAGAGATTAGACACGAAAAGTAATGATCCATTAGGTTTCTAACACTCTCAAACAAAATATTTTGAAATAGAGTGAGTAATAAGGATTTCTGTTGCTCTTCAGTCCTTTACATTCCTTATGTAACATTCGTTTTTTCCATGATTGATAGCAATTTCAATTCGTCAAGTTAAATTGTTAACGTGTTTGTTTCTAATCTCATCCACGTCTAGATGGAGGCAGAGAACCAATGGAATTGAAGAGGGAATTAAAGAACCTCCCGATGATCATAGCAGTGAAAGGTCATCCAACTGAAGCCGTAGAACTTGCTAAGCACATCAGATACTCCTTCATTAATCATCAGGATATCGCCTCAAATCTTCAACAATCCTTGCCATCCTCCTCTGGCGCAGCCACACCCCAACTTGATGATTTGTGCTTCAACATTGTCTGTCAAGTTGCCTCCACCCAGCTCAAGATGGAGATCAGGGTCGTCATTAGCGTCCCGCTCCATAAGCAAATCCACTTTGATCAGTTGGAGAAGCTGGCACAGTCAGCAGACGCAAGTTTAATGGTAGTCCAGTGTCAAACCCAGGATGAAAGGGATGATTTAGATGTTAGAGGGGTTGTCAAGCTCGCGGTCGACACCTCAACACCCTTCAACGTTGAGAAACTTGTTAAAAAGATGCTGGATGCCAGAGAGCTGCTTAAGTTGAAGTGGCATTTTCATGCTTTGAAACTCTATACTGACGGTAAGCATGAACAGAATCGGAATCTCCATTGCAAACGCTGTCCGGAGGACATTTCCGGTTCCAGTTATCAGTGTGTTGAATGTGATAAGCACAATTTCCATAAATCCTGTGCCGAGTTAGCCAGCAGTTTAGACGGTCTTCGCGAAAATTGCCCCTCATATCTCAAAGGGAATAAGCCTAATTATAAATATTTTTCAAAGCAGCACAGGTGCGAGAGCTGTGAGGTCAGCAACAGCGACTTCTCCGAAGATTGCCATCATTGTCTGTTTCAGACCAACATGAAACTTGGACATCTGCCAATCGTTCTTCGACACAATTCTCATGCACATCCTCTGAGTCTCATCATCATGCCACACGCCCAGAATTACCAGTATGCATGCTGTGGCTGCGGTAAGTTAGGCGAGTCTATCAGCTACCGATGTTTCGACTGCAACTTTAATCTTCATATTGATTGTGTTTTGTTAGAGCCTCCTCCTAAGAGCAGACACCACATGCATCCTCTTGCTCTTGACTATGGACTTGAGGAGGATGATCCTGATTATGAAGATTCCCAATGTGATATTTGTAAGGACAGAAACCCAGAGGACTGGGTTTACGTTTGTGAAGAATGCAAATGGGTTGCTCATATTGCCTGTGCAATATGACAAAATAGAAATGTTTATCTGATTTCTGTCATTTGCAGGTATTATGATTGTAAGTTTGCAATATTATATGATATTGTAATTATCTCATTTTCAGTAAAATAAGTGTTTGTGTGCTCTCTTTTTTGGCAACTATAGCATGTTTCAGCAGAAACTTTGGCTAGTTTTCTAATTTCTGTGAAGTGGAGTCTACTTTTGAAGTCCCAACACTTTATTATTTCCAATACTATTGTATTAACTTTAGTTTTATATTACAGAAACTATAATTTCATCATTTTAGTTTTAGTTGATAAAGTTATTTGAGTCCCAATAGTTTATGGATGAAGATTGTAGATTTCTAAAGAAAATGAAAACGAGAGAGGAAGCATCTTGAGTTGTTTGTAGCTAAAGCTTAAGATCACATGGTTCTTGACCTTCAAATTGTAGATTTGCATTAGAAAGCTTGTTTGTTCTTGTTATCTTCAAATCTCTCGGTCACTCACATGTGGGAACAAGCAAAGTAGGCTTAATAAAAACGCACTGGTGTGCCACTTATTTTGTTAAAAGTAAGAAGGTTTGTGGCGATTCTCACTCCTTTCAAAAGGATCATACATCTATCTTTTATTTAATCAGTGTGCTTTCATCGTCTTGCATTCTTGGTAGAAGTGTGTATCACTAAAAATCCTTGTATCTCGCTTGCTTAGAGCGAGAGGCACGCGTGTGGGAAAAGGATAGAATTTTGGAGACAACAAATGATGGTCCAAGAAAAAGAGAAAAGTGGATGAAATACAAAAGATTAAAATACTAATTTAGTCCCTCAACTTTTAAGTTTATATCAGATTTATCCTTGAGTTTAAAAAATATTACTATTATCCTTAAACTTTAATTTTTAATGCTAATTTTGTCCCCCTATTAATTAGATGATGACATGACTAACTTTTCCATCCAAAAATTCATTTTTTGTACTTCGAATATTGTGTGGAAATGAGATGGAAATTCTAACGGTTATGTGGCAAGTTTTCTTGCTTATTTGACATTTTTGTTGGTATTTCCATACTTCAAAATTTTAAAACAAGTATCAGGCCCCTATTGGTTTACAAATTAAAGCAATTAATTTAGAAAATTAAATCACTAATTATGTTTAACTCTAATTAAACTTAAACTAAGAAAGCAACTTACAATTAAGAAACTTTATTAAAAAAAGACAATACTATAGTTAAATGCCATTTAAAATTGTAAACTTAGAATAATAACATGTTAAATGAGTAAATATAAATGAATAAATATATACAATATTACAAGTAAATTCATAAATAAAAAAAATTAATTATGTAATGAGACCATATTATGACATTGTAACTATATCATTTTTTTACTAAAAATTGAGTTTCTCTATTAATTGCACCTTTTTCTTTATAATTGTTGTTAAAAATAAAAAATAAAAACTGATTCCAATTTTATTTAAAATTAGACACATGTTATTGATGTTAAAAATAAAAATAAAGATCCCTTTTGCTTTTGCTTTTCCTATACAAATTAATGTAGAAAACATACAATTAATGCCTTATTAACTTACAACTACCATTTACAGGTACAACACCTGTTTTCTGATGCTCAAATCTCATCAATAAAGTTTATGTATACAAAATTTTCACAAACCAAACCCAAAAACGACTCACATTTATTAAAAAAAAAAAAAGCCTAGATTTTGACCAGAGGAAATTATGGAGAAATCTGTTCATTCAAGATGTTCACAATGAAGAAATCTGGTTCATACACTAATCATCTACCATAAAATCTCAAACTAAACTCAAGGAAAGTAGTCATGAACACAATCAAAGAGCATGATGTAAGATCAGTTCTGGGTCA